GAATGTAAATATTCGCAACATCCCTGGTGTCGGCGGGTGTTTGGTATTGCAAGTGTGTAGGTTGTTTTTGTTTTTGACGTTACGTAGCATAAATTGTCTGTCATAGTTGTGGGGGCATGTTTGCGAATTATTTATGTACAAATGTAGGCAAGTGTGTACATACTACATACATACTATATGCACATTAGAGTGCATTACAAACATGTTACGGTTTCTCCAGCCGGAATTATAAAATTTATATTTTAAGACTTCCACCAAAAGGTTTCGAAAAAATATTAAGATTTACGTGGGCTGAATCCGTATTGAGAAATACGTCCAAAAATCTGATAACTTTGAACCCGTTGATAAATATTTTACCCATTTTTTATGAAGATTTTTTTACGCGTACGTCACCTGAGGTAATTTTTTGAAAAAAAATAAAATTAAAAAAGTAAGTTTTTTGGAGGTAATTTAAAATAGGTTTAGCATGTAAATCTTAATATTTTGGCGGAAATCTTAAAATATAAGTTTTACTAGTAATTAAACAAACTTTTTTTAAGACATACTCTTTTATTAGTGGTTACTAAAAAAGCAAATCCACTGCTCTTTCATCTAATGTCAAAATTTTTTGTGGAGTTTTTTCTTTCTATTTTTAATATTCACTGTAAATATGAAATAAATCGGACTATAAATACGGATTTTTCTAATATCTCGAATCCTGCGCCACATATCGGGAAACATTTTTGTAGAGTTATTATTTTTCATGTTAGAAATAAACATTCCAAATATAAAGCATATCGCGCGCCAAAAATACGGCTTTTGCAAATATGTATTTCGAAAACGGCGCCACTTATCGGGCAAACTTTTTTACGCAGTTACTTACTTTTAAGTAATAGAAATTCCAAATATAAATGATATCAGACTATAAATAAAAGTTTTAAAACATCTTGACCCCTGCGCCACATAGCGGATTAGTTCATTTTTATATTGCAATGTCATCGGGCACTGAGCTCAGTTTGAAGTTTCAAGTCGCTGGCTCAGCAGGAAGTTGGTTAAAAGTTGATTGTCATCAAATTGATTGTAATAAAACAAATAAAAGAAAAACTTGTAAAATAGTACCGATTTTTTTTTTTTTTGTATGCAGAGTGATGCAGCCTAATGTATGAATATATGAAAGTATGTATCTCAAATAAAAAATTTATAAATAAGCAAAGAAAATAAAATAGCGTTAGCTCATTCTTTATGCCTTTTCCTTTTTTTTTATCTTTGCATACTTTTATTTTCCTTTTCTCTTTCTCTTCCATTTTATGAATCGTTGACACCTTTGCCATTCGCAGGGCGAGTTGTTAGTTTTTATTTTGTATTCTATTGCTCTTTCATGGCTATCAATTCACTTACATACATAGACGTCCCTGCAAGGGAATTTTTACATATGTACCTACATAAGAGTACGCACTCAATCCACAGCACTGCAACGACAGAGCAAACGAACTGCAGTGCAATGCATTTCTTCGCTCGCTCACTGAAT